ATATGTTTGGATAATTTTTGTCAAAAGTATATTTGGAAGATAAAAATATAAATAATAATAATAATAATAATAATTTTCATAAATTAAAATTCACTTATAAATAAGCTTGATTATAACTAGTTGCATCGGGTTTGGGAGTTGTTACGGTACCTTCAAAGATCGAGGAGTTTCAATACATTTTTTTATGTAAACTTATAAAAAATTTAAAAAAATTAATTTAATTATAAAATAAATAATGCAAATTATACTTATAAAATAAAAAGTAAGATAAAATTATAGAGATTAAAATTATAAGATTTTAATAATATTATAAAATATGAAAAAAAGAAAAAAATTAATAAATTAATAAATAGTAGAAATAAAAAATTATTAAAATTATAATATAGAAATTCAAAAATTTAAGATAAAAAGACAAAAAAATATACTTAAAAAATTATTAAAATTAAAATATAGAAATTCAAAAATTTTAAGTGAAAAGATAAAAATATACTTAAAAAGTTATTAAAATTAAACTATTTAAATATATAATAATATTATTACAAATAAATTAGAATATATAAAATAAAAATAAAATAATTAAATAATTTAAAAATTAAAAGAATAAAATATCATAAATATTATTTAAATAAATTATTAAAAATATAAAATATAAAAAACTGTACCGATACTCTTTTAAATAAGATGGGTACCATATCCCATTTCTCTATTTACGTATGTACAATTTTTTTACAAATGTAAGAGGGAATGTGAGCGTAGAACAAGCATACATACATTTGAGGGATTCATTTTAAGAATAATACGTACAACTATGTTCAGTTATTTATTTTTCGTTCCCTCTAAATTTTTATTTTAAATTTGTTTTTGGTACAAAACTTCTTTTAAAAAGATCTAAGGATTGTCTCGCACAACATTTAGTTAGTGTAAAAGTTGATTTTTGAAATCCACATATATATATATATATACTAATGCGATAAATTATTATTAATTTGAAACTGTACCGGAAGGTCCCTATCGGTCACGTTGACCAACACGTGCCATTTCGTCAGACACCCATGCATAGCCACGTACAAGCATCATCATCAACATCGGCTCGGCATGAGGCCGAGAACCTACATCAGTCTGGTTAATGCAAATATGGACCATCATCATTCATCGAGTCGGCTCGGTCAGGTGCCG